GGGATCCATATATTCCTGCTTTCCTCTCCAGGCTCCAGTGGTGCTTTCTGAGTGCATCTTTTCTGACCTTTGACAGAAGAAATATGCTTTGAATAGGAACATTGAAAAGACCGATCTGCAAATTTCCTTTCCACAAATAGATTGGGTTCAGAATCTTCTGGCCTTGCTTTCTCCTGAAAAGAAAAGCTCCAAACACTATGGACATAGTTGTAAAGATCCTCCCATCCCATTACCAAATATTCAATGCTTTCCACGATCCAGACTTTTCCTTCAATTGGTCCTGGCACACCTTCAAATGTTAACTGCAAAGTATGGATTCTGTCCCAAACGTTAACTGTTTCTATGTAGTTCACAAAGACATTGTCTTGTCTCCACTTAGAGATGGCATCCCGGAGGGGTGTTGTATGTCTAGTTGCTGAGAACTGTTGTGATATCACAACACAAATCCCATTCCTGACAAGCATAGGAGTAAAAGTCCTCATGAAACTCTCTCCCTCCTCTGTGTCTGAAGCAAAGAGACCAATCAAGGTCCATCTGAAATGGAGGAGGAGTTGGACAATTGCTGGATACGTGACCCCTTGTTTGGGCAGAATCCGGTGGAAAAAAGGGAATTGACTTTTATCATTGAGAGCCTCTGCAACAATTGCATCACTGATCTGAAAGAGTAATTAAGAATGCTATGCTACATTTGGGGTCAAATCAAGTCCAAAATACTAGATTTTAATAAATCTATTTGCTCCTCATGTACACATTAGAATAGTATGTTGTTGATTAATCAAACAATTTCAAGATACAACGTACAAAATACAGAACATTTGCAAAACTGTAGATAAAAATAAAGAAAAAACAAGCTAAAAGGACAAAAGAATAAATGCAAATCCTATTTCTGTACCACATTAGCCTTAAAAGGAAACCAGGCCACCAAAGAACACAGTGACTGGACACCATCAAAGCTGACACAGACAAAGCATAGAACAACTCTAAGAATTAGTGCAAGATCAGAAGATGTGGAGATATAACCCCATAGAATAACCAAGAGATGGACACAACTAAATGGATAGCATTACCACCAACATCATTGACCCACACACGCAGATTGCTCCTGAACTGTTTTGTTCATATAAATGCAGGAAATGTGGGTTTTATTATAATGTAAGGATCAGAATATGACTTTGGTCTATTGTACAGTTCAAGATATTTATTATCTCTCTTCCTTTTTACAATTGAAGAATGGAGAAGAATGTTACTTCTTCTATCTTTGGAGCAATGCAAATGTAACTGACAGATTGGTTAAATCTCCTCGAACTAACCATTGCATCTTGTTTGAGTAAATACCATGCTAACATACTTTTGCACCAAATTCTTGGCAATTTGGAAGGTCCATTTGTAGTGGCTCATCAATTTCAATGTGCCAACCTTAATGAGGATGGCCCAGGGGTGGGATTCAAAAATCCCAGCAACCGGTTCGCTGCACAGCTGCTGGGTGAGCATGGCCATGGTGGGCATGGCCTACAAGAACTTCTGGGAGAGCGGTTTTTTGCTGCCTCAAGAGTCCGGAGGCCTCCCTCAGGCCTCTGGGAGGGCAAAAGTGGCCTCCCCTGGGCTCTGGAGGCCCTCTGGAAGCCGGAAACAGGCCTGTTTCCAGACTTCCAGGACTTCCGGAAGGCCCATTTTTCCCCCTCCTAGAGCCTCCATGCAGACTCTGCACTTACCTGCATCAAAAACGGGCCACGTGGAGACTCATGGGAGAGGTGGGACAGGTTGGGTGGGGCCAGCCCATCGGTTCAAATACTGGCCTGGCGAACCAGATGCAAATTTAACATCCAGTTAACAATGGAACTTTGGCAACTGATTGAAGGCAAACTCTGCAGTTCTTAGACAGCAATTTTTGACAGTTATTGTTGTGCCAAAATGAGGATGAGTTGCACAGAGTTGTACGATCTCTCCACCAACTAAAATTCCATTATATCCCTCACCTCACTGTTTCTCCCCTTGTCTTCTTGCTATGCTTAGTTTGATGCTTCCGGTTGACTGATCTTGGTGTACTTCCAAATACTATGGAGCTTAAGAGAGATGTGTACCCTTCTTTGCTTATGCAAGGCAAACATTGCACACCTTGCAAAATTACTGTACTGTTCATATTGTCCTTATTAACATGCCTCCAGGAATAAGCCGTGATCAGGGATGTGGCATTCGGTCATTTGCTTCCTTGTTAAAAAAATTGTTTACAGTTGCAATACAACTAATGTTTGTATTCCAGGCCATATCATTTATTCTGCTTGATTTTTTTAATGTTTAATCCATCATGCACACTCTGTCCTTCAACCAGGACATCACTGATAAATCATCCAGACATCATCCATAAACTCATTTTGTCTCTCCCATTATTTTCATTTAAGCCTCATCACTGAAAGATTGCATGAGGAAATGAGCTGCCTGGAACTGAAAATCAGTAGATCACAAGATAGATGATTTATCTGACAGAAAGTAGAATGGCATGCTGTGTTACACGTAAATGTTACAAATCCCAAGGAAGTAGATGAACTAGCATGATTCATTTGGGGATGTGCATGAAGATATCTTAAGATGTGAAAACCTGTTAGAAGCACTGAAAAATTAGTTCATCTACCTATTTCTTTATTTATGAAGACGTTTCAATGGCCCCATAGCCATTTAGCTATTTACAATTAAAAAAAACAATTAAAAATACAATTTGAGTAAAGCCAGAAACAATGCCCACAAGAGATCGAAGTTCTTCCCACTTTGAATGCCTCTCTTATCTTCTGCTCATTTCCCTAGACCGTTAGTAAGCCAGAGTCTTGTAAAGTGCTTTAGCTTGCACTAAATCTTTATACTTATTTGAACTGCCTGAATCTCCTGATGATCCTGGTGCTTGACAAAAATAAATGCAACATATAATCTAGGTAGCCACCAGGAAGTTTATTGGACAACTGAAAGAATCTGAATTAAAATGCTATTAAAAGCAAATTTAAAATCCTAGGAAATTAAAAAGAAATTTCATCTGGTGCTCAAAAGATGCTACTGGAGTCAATTGAACATTTCTGGAGAGATGGTTGTAGAGAGTAAGGAAGATAGCCTTGATGGACATACACAAGCTCAATAGCCATGGCAACCATGGGTAAAGGATCTAATCTCTTTGGGAGAACATCTTTTCCCTTTCTCTGATAATGGGTTGTCCCACTGCAGAGAAAGAGAGTTATCTCTTAACAAAATTTCCCAGACCATGACTTGTTCTACTTGGGGTGTTATTAGTGGTCAGTCCAAAATCCTTCTCCTGGAGGTCTCAGAGAAAGCATCTGCTGCCTATTCACACTTTTAATGAGTAAGAACTAGTGCTATGATCCCTGAGACATTAGTTATCTGGGATTTTATGATTACCTTCTCCTTAAGATTGATGGTGATAAAGAGCTTCCACAATAATTCTGGGAGCATTTCCAGTTGTCCAGGTCATTATGTTCTCCATGCCTCTCCTGTTTGATCAAAAAATATACAAGCACAAGACTGAACTGGAGACCTGATTTATTATGAGAAAAATACACTTATGAAATTCAGGGTTCTTACTCTACAACAACAGGAACAACAAAATATGTTTATCATATACAAGTTACTTTATTCTGCTTACATTATGCTCATATTGACCAATTTTGAACTTTGGGGTGAACTCTTACCCTACCTGGGGTTCAAGAAAACCCTCTTCCAATATTTGTAGCTTCTTTGGCTCTCTCAGTGAGGATCTTTCTACCTTAGGACAAATTCCTCTTACTGGCAAAATCTCAACTAAAAGATTCCTAGAATCACAGGAGGAAATCCAGAGGAACAGATTTGTTTGATGGTGACTGAGTTCAGTTCTGAGAAACTTTCCAAGACAAAAACAAGAAAAAGGTGGACTTTGCAGAGAGCTTTTCTTTAATTTGGTACTTTGCACACAAGTTCTGCAATCTTCTATCACTTCAGGAAGAGGCATCAACTGTGCCGGTCTAAATGTGACTGGACAATGGAGAGATAACAAGAGGGGTGGCTTGGGAAAGGGGAAGTTAACTGAAGGATTTTCATGCTCAAACTTTTAGTTCTCACTTCGCAGTAGTGTCACCACTTGGCTTTTAGTAAAGGAAACCTTTTCATAACAGATGGAGTGGAGAGTGGTCCTTTCCTAAGAGACCAAGGTTGGCTCAGGTCTAACAATAAGCCAGAACTAAAAGTTTGAATTTGTCACACTTGACCCAACCTTGGTCGAAGTCTGTCAACTGTTGGGCCTCAAATTGTTATTTAAATTTCTGCTTCCCTCCCTGTTTGCTCTGACTCAAATACGATCTACCAACTGCCTTCTTCCTGTGTATATTTTGATGTCTCAAGTGGACTGATTCAATTCACATGTATTGGCTCAGAATTGCATGAAAAAAACGTTGAGCAAATGCTTTAATAGAACTTAATAGAGGAACTTCGGCAACTCATTTGCTTCCTCATTAAAAAAAAATGTTCCCAGTTGCAATACAACTAATGTTTGTATTCCAGACCGTATCTTTATTCTGCTGGATATTTTTAATTTTATTTTTTAAAATGTTAAATCTATCATGCACACTCTGTCCTTCAAGCAGGACATCACTGATTCTGGATCCACAAACTCATTCTGTCTCTCCCTTTATTTTCATTTAAACCCCATCATTGAAACACTGCATGAGGCAACAGAACTGAAAATCAGTAGATCACAAGAAAGAAGATTTGTCTGACAGGAAGTAGAATGGCATGTTTTGTTACACATAAATGTTGCAAATCCCAAGGAAGCAGATGAATTAGCATAATACATTTGGGGATGTGCATGAAGATATCTTAAGTTGTGAAATGCTGTTAGAAGCACAGAAAAATTAAGTTTATTTACCTCTTTATTTATTTATGAAAACATTTAAATGACCCCATAGCCAGAACTCTTTACAATTAAAAAACAACTACAAAATACAATTTGAGTAATATAAGAAAGAGAGGGCTGCGAAGCACTGTGGAGTGATATAAAAGTCTGCTATAGCTATTTAGTTTTGTGATGACCCAAAGGAGCAAAGAAACCTAATATTCCTTCCTCCTATTTTCTGCTCAGCAACAATCCTGTGATGTAGGATGGGCAGAGAAGGGGGAAATAATCCAAAGTTGCTAAATTGTCTTTTATGCCTAAAGTGGGACTGGAACTAACAGTCTCCTGGTGATTGGCCCAGAGTCCCCCGCTGTCTTTCATGGCCAAAGTGGGACTAGAACTGACTGTCTCCTGGTGATTGGACCAGAGTCACCCAGATGGCTTCCATGCCTAAGGTGGGACTGGAACTCAGGTTTCCTATTTCTAGACCATTTGATCTTTCTAGGAAATTTTTCACAGCTAACCTTAGTATGAAAAGATCTATCATCTAAGATCTATCATCTGGACTAGAAGACCTTCAAGGTTCCTTCCAACTCTGTTATTTTTTCTATTCTATTCTGTTCTGTTGTATTCTAACATGTAATAAGATTACAAGATGAAAAAAATTAATAACAAAGTAATATTTCTATATTTTATATCTTTCATCCAGAATACACCCTGAAATGTTGCATTTGTGCCCCACTGTTTTGAAATACCTTTCAGACTTGTCCAGATGGGGAGAATCAATGTGTTAAAAGGTGGAATAATACTGTTATGTTTGGTAAGCACAGTTCTTATCTTCTCTCATAGCTTTTCTTCTGGAACCCAGACTAGAACTCCCAAATGCACGTGAGAGTTGGAGGTCACGTAGGACCTGTCTGTGCCCTGCCTGGGTTCCCCTGAGGTCAAGGCCTGTTGCTGGACAGTCTAAGGAATGCAAGGAAAGGGGGGGTTGGACTGGGGAACCCCATCTTTCTCAGCAACAGCCCAGACTGGAGGGGGAAACCTTCTTTAGAGAAAAGGGAAGGGAAATGCTGGGAGAGCTGCGGGTTTGTTCTGGAATTGAGGGAAATTGGATGAAGCCATTAAATATTGCCCCTGAGTCATATAAAAACACGGGACTTTCCCAGAAATCTCTTCTTTATTCATTTACTCCTGAGTATTAAGTAGAGGAAGAAGGAGGTCTGCCTTCCTACTGGGTGATAATCCATGTGTTAAATGTGAATGTGTTAAAAGTGAGGTTAACATTTTATTCAGGAACAGACACAGATCTGTTCTTTGGTATTTTTTTAATAAGCATTCTGCTTTGTGTTTCCTTCACACCTTTGAAGCCCACCAGGGAATGTGCTGCTACTTGTGCTACTGCAGAGTCTTATGAGACCGTTACATGTTGTGCAGAGGACATGTGCAACTACTAGTTCTATAAGTGGCTAAATTCCTTGAGTTTTGCTCTCATCCATCGTGGACCATCCTTGAAAATTTATGCTTGCGGCTTTTACCACCAGATGGTCCATAATCCCCCTCCTCCTTACTGTCTTTGACACCTCATCATCTTTCCCTTTTCTCTTGTTCTGTAAGTTTCCTTCTGCTAGTTCTGTAGTTTGAGAATCGAATAAACCTCAGCATTCAATTCAAGGGTTTTGATTTTTTTAATTCCCCCCCACAAAACATCCCTTTCACAAAACCCACAGGTAGATAGTCTTTCTCCTGGTTCCAGCAGGCTGTGATGCTGGGATGAGCAGGATTAGGTCCAATTCATGTTGAATCATGGCTTGGATTGCCTAATGGGGTAATAACCTTACATTCAGACAGGGTAAAGATAGAGGAGAAACCCACAACTGAGTTTTTCCTCAGTGAAACCTCAAACTTCAGGGCTGCTCCATCCCTCCCTTTCTTCTCTCTGGGGCAAGCTGAGGGGAAGAGGAAGATGCCTTGAAACAGTGGAGGGGGGTTTGGGGTGAAGGATGGCAAGCCTCTTCCCCATCCCACTCACCTGATAGAAAACAGATCTTGATTTGATAGCTGGCTCTGAAGGCTGGCCTCAAGCTCTTCTCAATTCTACAATGTGTGTGTTGAAGGGGACACCAGAGATCACTTAGCTGGGTGTTAGGACTGTGTGGGAATTTTTCTTAAAAAAAGCATTTAATTTGATTTAGAAGCATTCTAGTTCTTTTCAAATCTAGGTACTACATAGCATAGAAAGAAAAAAAACAAATACACATTACAAAAATGTAGCAAGTAAGAATAACAGTTGGCAGATCTTGTTCACAGTATAACAGTACAGTAGTTGTACATGGCCTCTAGCCACCCTTGCCCAACTCCTGGGAGAAGAGTGGGACTTGTAGGACCTCCAAATCGCCATGAGATGGAAGCCACTTGGATCTCCAGTGTATCATGTCATAGGGTCCTATACTTTCCCTCTAATTGAACATCTGAATAAAACCACTGCCTTGCTGACCTGAAGTTGGGTGGGAGAATGAAAAATCAATGATGCCAGGAATACAGTCAATTTCCTTCCCCAATAATGGTACTAAAATGCACACATACACACCCCAGCATCATTGATGTACCAAAAGTGAGAAACCATTGAAAGATATTGACTACCGAAGGAGAGCTGTTGTGTAAACTACAATGAAATAGTCCTTGTCTGTCTGTGACTCTCTCTTTCCCCCTCCCCCTCCCTCCTTCTCCTCCCTTCCTTCCCTCTCTCCCTCCCCCCTCTCTCGGTGTGTTAGTAGAGAGAGAGAGAGAGAGAGAAAAGAGGCAACTCAGCACGTAGCTGGATATGAGACAGAGGAAGAGAGATGTTCAGGCCCTCCTGGAATCTCATAGAATGTATAAAAGGGGAGGTGGAGTTGCACTATATATAAAAAATAACTACATCTCTACAGAAATATTGCACAACAATGATGAAAACTGCCTTGAATGTATTTGGGTCAATATAAAAGGAGACAATAATGACATTGCCATAGGTGTATACTATAGGCCACCTAACCAAACAGAGGAAATAGATGAACTTCTTGCTAGTCAGTTAACTAAGGTATGTAGGAAGCACATCACAATAGTAATGGAGGACTGTAACTATGCTGATATCAACTGGGAGACAAACTCTACACCAAGTGGAAGATCAAACAGGTTCCTGACAAATGTAGCAGATAACTTTGTCTCCCAAAAAGTAGAGAAGGGAAGTAGGGGATCAGCCATTTTGGACTTAATTCACACCAACAGAAATGAAACGATAGAAGGTATTGAAGCTATCCTGTTTCTCCAAAAACACGACCCACTTTGAAAAGAAGCCCTATCAGGTTTTGGAGTGCATGCAGTCAAATTAAGACCCATTCACAAAATTAGCCATAATTAAGACCCCACCCACCCTGGGGTGCAGGGGGTGGAGCGAGGCACACAGGTAAAAAAAAACACTAGAGTGTGGATGGAGGATGGAACTGCCCTACTTACCATGCCTCACACACACTGACACCTGCCTTGCCTTCTCCTGCAGCTGCTTCTTCTGCCACCATTTGCAGGCACCACTCCAGCTTCCGTTTTGCTTTCAGATGCCTTCTGGAAAGCCATCTGCAGCCAAGAATACAGCTCTCAATAAATCAGAAGCTCTATTATTGGCTGCAGAGGGCATTCCGGAAGGCATTTGCAGTGCTCTTTTTTTGGCTGCAGAGGGCTTTCCGGAAGGCATTTGAAGAGCTCTATTATTGACTAAAGAGGGCTTTCCAGAAGGCATTTGCAGAGCTGTATTATTGGCTGCAGAGGGCATTCTGGAAGGCAGTTGCAGAGCTCTATTATTGACTCTAGAGGGCATTCCGGAAGGCAGTTGCAGAGCTCTATTATTGACTGTAGAGGGCTTTCCGGAAGGCATTTGCAGAGCTCTATTCTTGGCTGCAGAGGGCTTTCCGGAAGGCAGTTGCAGAGCTCTATTATTGACTGTAGAGGGCTTTCTGGAAGGCATTTGCAGAGCTCTATTCTTGGCTGCAGAGGGCTTTCCGGAAGGCATTTGCAGAGCTCTATTATTGACTGTAGAGGGCATTCCAGAAGGCAGTTGCAGAGCTCTATTATTGGCTGCAGAGAGCTTTCCAGAAGGCAGTTGCAGAGCTCTATTATTGACTGTACAGGGCATTCTCGAAGGCAGTTGCAGAGCTCTATTATTCTTAGCCCTGGTTCTGTGAATTCTAGGTAAGAAATTGCAAATGGATAGGTTTGTATTCTTTTTTTAAATTGTTCCTAGTACAGTAACCGGCAAGCACAGTTACATTGAACAAGGTTAGCACTGAAATCAATCATCTTTCAGTGTAATTTATGCCTTCACCCCACCCACCTAATCACTGTCTATCTCTGCCCTGCACTCATGTCCCTATTACACTATCATTCTATGGTCTACATCACCACACTAACTAAGCCACAATTCCCAACTACCCCTTACTCTTCCCGTTCCAGCAGTTGCTCTCTCTTGATTTATTTACTTATTTTACTTTGCTTTATTTGATTTACTTTAGTTTACTAGATTTATTTATTTATTTATCCATCCTGCCAAAAGCTCTCTTTATGAATTTATTAGTATGATGTTCCTCATCGTTTATGCTCCATTACCAATTATGGGTATGTAGTGAAGTTTTTGTACTCCCCCCTCATGAATCTAAACTAGTCAGCTTGAAGACGTCATCTGGTAGCAATGTTTGTTTTTGTTTAGTCTCCCTCAAGCTCTTAATCTTCCAATGCTGTCGAGCGAATCATTTTGCGAAGCCTGACAATTATTGGCTGCAGAGGTCTTTCGGGAAGGGATTTGCAGAGCTCTATTATTGGCTGCAGAGGGCATTCCGGAAGGCAGTT